TTAATTATAGAGATATTGATCATAACCTTCCATGTTGTTCTTGACAACTATTTCTACAGTTTTTTTAGTTATATGTTCTCAAATAGTTTTCGAATCAATAATTACTAAGCTGAACTGTGACAAATAATGGCCAAGTAACTTGAAGATGAACATCTCATATCAAGATCATGTCAATGTTTAAAAAGGCATAATCGGATATTAGTAGCATTCAGAAACATTTCTGACCGGCATTGCGCATATCAGTAAATAATATTGCATCAAATAAGCGAATCAGCTAAGTTCACCAATTCAGTCGCAGACCACAATGTCAACCTTCACTACTACTGTTTTACATTACCCGTATTATACATATGCAAGTAAACTTGTTCGGTTACCACTAAGATCCAACAATTCCCTAATTTAGTCCCTCATCACCTACATATCTAAGGTAGCCCAATTAACTCAAATCTAAACGAGGTTCGGAAGTGTCACGTGGAAAACCACATTGACCAAAAGATTCAGCATCATAATCTTACTCAACTAAATTTCCACTAATTCAGAGCATCCAGATCAGAGTAAAAAAAAAAAAAAACTTCAATTTATTCACTATAGATTACGAGATCCATCAACAGTTCAATTATACCTGACGCCAGCATCGCCAACAATCCCAATTGCCATTCCAGCTGAGAGGCCAGCAAGGCCACAAGCGAGGCCCGAGGAGAGATGCGCATAACCATCGAATAGATAATAACCCTTTGCCTTAGGGTTAATCCCAGTGCTGATAATCACAGCAATAATCAACCCGTAAATACCCAACACTCCAGCCATAACCACTGGCACGATCGACTTCATCACCAGCTCCGGCCTCATCACTCCCATCGAAGCGACACCTACACCACTCTTCGCCGTTCCATACGCCGCACCCATACCTATAAAAATGATCCACAACAAACATATTAATCCAGAAAATCCTGATAATCAAACCAATATAACAAAACTCAGATCTTTGGATTACAGGAGAAGACGAGGGCAGAAGCGGCGCCGAGGAAGCCGAAAAAGGGAGCAGTCTCATCGCCGTTGAAGATAGAAGACATTTTTGTTGGGATTGCAAAAAAATTACGAATGGATCTGTAAATTTACGTTGAATTAACAGTTCCTGTTACAGAGAGATGATTTGGGGGTTTCCGATGAACAGATCTAGGCTCTCTCTCTGTGATGTATCATGTATGTATGGCGTAGAAGAAGGCGAGCTAATAATTGATAGGGTGTCAATCCGCGTTTCACACGTGGCGTCTTCGATTTTGGGTCCGGAATTGGGTTGGACTTTGAACTTGTTTTAAACGTGGGTCGTATCCAGCCCAGTTTGTTCGTGCACTAGCCCATAGACTCAGAAATTTGAGATCTGCTACATATACAAGAGATTTTGCCAGGATTTTGCCTGTGTGTTCCTTATTGCTTCAATGCAATGGCATTTTTTGTACTATCCAAGATTTATACAAGAGAACACTTGTCAATTTTTCATTGGTAGTTGACAAAAAAAAAAGTACTCAATACTTTCTGAAGTACTGAATTTCATACTCGTGAAGTATTATACATTTTTCCAGCCTAGACTCAGAAATTTGAGATCTGCTACATATACAAGAGATTTTGCCAGGATTTTGCCTGTGTGTTCCTTATTGCTTCAATGCAATGGCATTTTTTGTACTATCCAAGATTTATACAAGAGAATACTTGTCAATTTTTCATTGGTAGTTGACAAAAAAAAAAGTACTCAATACTTTCTGAAGTACTGAATTTCATACTCGTGAAGTATTATACATTTTCCAGCCTAGAGGCACAAACCTTTTAGGTTGAGATTTTTTGCACCAATATCACGACCAAGAGGGATCACGTTAGGGCTAGAATAAATCCTGCCAAGTGTATGAGCATCACAATCATTAGTCGCGATCATTGTCACCACAATCCAATTTATAAATTGTCAAAAAATGGTGGCTTAATTGACAATCTTACCACAAGGAAGCATGCAAATAATTCACTATGCTATACTCAAAGAGCGATGCAATAAAAAAAATATGTATTTTAATCTTTTAGTCTAAAGATATTGTTATAACTCAATTAGCCATTTTTGTTTTTAGGGTATTGCGTAGCGATTACATGAATGATTAGTACAATACGACTACAATCATGCAATCTTAATCATTTTGGGGATGATAGGTGATGAAATGAGAAGTAATGGCAAAATTTAAAATTAAATTGAAGTTTAGTGACTCAATCGAAATTGCACTGAAGTTTAGTGACTGTAGATGAAATTTACCCTTTCTAAGCAACTGGACTTTTTAGCTCCGTCAACCAAGTTGGGCCAATCAGCCGTGAGGTGCGGCCACCTTTTGACCCCCAAAAGGCCCAAATCACACTGCTTTTCTCAATTTTATTTAGGCATAATTACAAAAATCAGGTGTAAAATTTACACCAATTCAAAATCAGGGACCAAACTTTATTTTTCAAAAATCAGGTAATATATAAACATTCTAACCCTAATTTTTTACCCTACCCCTCTTCTCTCTCTCTCTCTC